GATAATGTAGTGATACGTATTACAAATATTTTCCTAGGAGGATAACTCAGATAGCATTTTTAACCTGGGGTAAGATAGCCTGCTTCTCTCTTTTAACAATACATGCAAAAACCAAACTACAAAGAAATAAATGCCTAGGTTTTCATATATTTTTCTCTTTGATTTTTTGGAAAAATAATCCAAAAAGCACAAAATATAATGTGTAAATGTCAGTATACAGGTCAGCAAAAAAGTAAGTGTTAAGATTTTGCCGTATTTGCTTCAGATTTTTTTTTTAAAGAAAAATGAAGCTTTTCAGATAAATTCCCTTTATTTTGTTTCCATTCCTTTTTTTCCCAAGGCCAGTGCTCTGATCAAGTTATCAGGAACCTTTCCAGTGTCTTTTCAGAATTTTACTCTATATGTAATTATTTACATGTATATTGCAATATGCTAGCATAAAATATGCTGTTGTTATTTTTTATACTTTGAAATGTTAACAAATGGTATCATATGTATCAGTCTGCACCCTGTTCTTCTTAATCGGCTGCTCTCTGTTCTTGATGTTTATCCGTATCAACCCGACCTGAATACAAACAGATCTCGTTCATTTTCTTTAAGTGTCTTATACTGTTGTATTGGATAATTAAAGCAAATTTTACTTTTCTTATGATGATGGATAGTTCAGTATTTCTCATTATTTACTATTGCAAACAATGCTACATGAATGCCCTTGGACTTGTCTCCTTGGGCACACATATGGGGGTTTCAGTGGAAAAGTTTCCTAGAAGTGATATTGCTGAGTCCTAGGATTTATGCGTCATCAGCTGTATTTTGATGTTGCCAAAGTGTTTTCCAACAAGACTGTGCTTTCTTACACTCCTTTTCAGCAAAGCTGGAGCTAGCTTGCTTGCTTGCATGCTTTCCTTCTTCCTTTTTCCTTTTTCTTTTTTTGGAGCTACCTTTCTAAAACCAATATGCCAGATATACTTACTATAGTTTTAAGAGTATTTTACTGCACGATTTTACGTTACATGAATTTACTGCACAATTTTTCGTTACATGAATTTCCCACACTTTCACCAGGTCATTTTTTTGGCCGCTTCAGAAAGAATGGAGCAGATACTAAAACTTTGGTTGTTTCATGGTCATTCAGAACAGAGCACAAAGTCTAAAGCAAAACTCTGCTTTATTTGAGTGTTCTTTCAGAATGAATCTTTCTCTTCATATAAATTTCACTCTCTTGCCTTCATTGTCACTGCTTAAATGAATCAAATTTCTATTTTTGTAGATCCTGAGAGGACTGTCTCAGCACTCTGTGCTTGGGTTTTGGTATTTTTCTGCTTATTTTAAATCTTTTGAAAGGAAATGAAAGGAAAATGAATGTTGGTGTCAGCATTAATTCATCTCCTTAAATTCCTTCAGTGTTTTAAGACCTACTAGGTATCTAATTTAAAATTTCATTTTAGTGTCACACAGATGTAGATGTTAACACAACCTCCAAAAACACCTTCCTGAACTTGAAATTGTTGCTCTAGCCTGCAACTTGCTGAAGCATTTCTTCACTTGAAGTTCCTTCCGTCTTGGAGGAAGAAAGTCAGCCCACGTCCAGTAGAATAGATGGATAGAGGTACCGTGTCCTTGTATGGTTCAGTTACTTGAGGAATTTCATGGTGGGGAGGAGTTGAGGGAGAGGAAGAGAGAGACTCTTAAGCAGGCTCTATGGTCAGCACGGAGCCTGATGTAACACTCGCTCTCACAACCCTGAGACCATGACCTGAGCTGAAATCAAGAGTCGGACACCTAACTGACTGAGCCACCCAGGCACCCCCACATTCCCCCTTTTTAAACACAGTGAACTCATAAATGGAAACAAAGTTGAACTGATGATAGAGAGTAATGATAAGGCCCAAATGAGTTCCTAGAGCTTTTCTGAGGAGATCATCCTTAGTTCCTGTTTAGGCTTACATTTCGGTATCCTGGTTTTCCCACTTTAATTCGTCTTCTACTGGAGAAATAAACAAGAAGTATCACCAGTACCTTCTGGCCCATTGTTTCTCCCCCAAAAAACACTGAGTTTAAATGTTAACTCTTAACAGCACGGACCAGAAAGGGTCCAGGATTGTCCTGAATCAGTCAAGTAGGCAGACATACATTTTTGGTCTCTCTAAATAACGTTGATAGGAGGTGCTGGTCTTGTTAGCACGATGAGCCCTGTTGAGGAAATGCCACACGCTATGAATATACATTGTTGGGACTTGATATTTTATGACGTTTATGTAGCTTTTATTTTGGCAGGGGAGCTTAGGTGAGATGGATGTGATCAGATTTGTGTTTTGAAAGATCTGTCTGGCTGCGGTGTAGAGACTTGGAGGGTGCAAGAGGGATACACTCGGAAAACATTTAGGAGGCAGATTCACCTGGATTTGGTGATGGCCAGGTGCTGGGGGCCAGGGGAGAAAAACCACATCGAGGTCGAATGAGTTGCCTCAACTCCGATTGGGTACACAGCTATGGGATCTAACTGAGCACCTGAGATTTTTGTCCCTGTTCTGTGTGAAATGGTGTAAAGTCAGTGAAGCCTCATGCCCTGTGCTGTGCTGTGTGATGCTTGGAAAACCCTGACAAATAGCCATCTACTTTCCCTCCGGCAGGTAGGAGGCGGGCAAAAATGGTTGGATTCCTGTAGTTACATAGTTGGGGGCGTGTAGGAAGAAACCCCTTTATATTCATTTTATATTCATTCAGGCCAACTGGCTAGTGTCATTTGTTTAGACGAGCCATCATTCATGGTAGCAGCCACTATAGCTAAAGGTTAGGGATGTTGTTGGTTTTTAAAAAATATTTATTTATTTGAGAGGGAGGGAAAGAGAGCAAGAGAGAGTGAGCACCCATGTAAGAATAGGGAGGGGGGAAGCAGGCTTCCCGCTGAGCAGGGAGCCTGAAGCGGGGCTCAATCCCAGGACCCTGGGATCATGACCTGAGCCGAAGGCAGGGGCTTAACTGACTGAGGCACCCAGGCGCCCCAAATGTTAAGAGTTTTACATGCTGTTGATGACATTAGCTGGAAGCACAAGGGAGAATTATACTTCTCAGAATGCTTTTTAATTATTTTCACCAGCAGCTCTCAAGGAAAGTTTGTTCATCAGGGAAGGATAGGGCAGAGGGCTGGGCCATCAACATTTTTGGCTCCATTTTAGATAAACATTGGTGTCTGAGGAACTGATGGCTTTTGTTCAATGTCGCATGGGCTGTCAACAGCAAACTCGGGGTTGAGGCTTTGAATCTTTTAGCTTCCTAAAAAGGACACAACAACAGTAAGCACAACAGAATAACTACCATGGGATTGAACCGAAATGCAAAGCCCATCGTTCGTTTCCTCAGGGAGCAGATGTATCCACCGTGTGAAATGATTCTGTTCTCTGCCATGATCCTCAGACCAGGAATTTAAAGAGGTCATTAATCTTAAATATAATATAATCTAGGAGTCTCTTTATTTGTCCTAGGCGACCTTAATTATCAGCTATGATCACGCTCACACACTACCCAGTTAAAGTTTCTCCAACAATTGCCTTCATTAGATTGATGTCTTTTATTTGGGGGGAGGGGGTTAGTGGAAAGGTTGGGAGTGGAGACAAATTAGTTGAAGAAAAGCAAAAGAAAAAAAAAAGCTGTTTAAAATGACTGGAGATAATAAAAGAAACTGTCATCACTAAGCCCTCTGGCCCCCAGAACAGAAATACTGAGCTAAATTAATATGAATGACACTAATAATTTTAGGGTCTACTGTAACCTGTGACAAGTCTGTCTGTAAGACGTATTCTCCTTGTCTGTTTGGAAGAGACTGGAAAGACCGATGAGAGGGTAAGAGACATGATTTGTCAGGATGCTTTGGGGAATACCCCAGCAGTTACCAGGATCCCCTCGCTGATTTTATTTGAAAAGGACCAGCCAAACTGTGGTCCTTCAGAGAACTGTACCCCTTCCTTCCTGGATGCCCCTAGGACTGGGAGTCCCTTCTGGAGTTGCTGTATTTATGGAAACCCCTCATTTCCCACTCATCGAGACCATATCTGCCAAGGTGCCCAGGGCTGACCTGGTTTCCAGAGGCGGAAGCCAGTTACCTTGGTGGTCAGTGCTGACTCTGGGGTCACGGGACTGATATTATGCAGGAGACTTTTTGTCCCATGCTCTTTGCCTGCTTTGAAGCAGATTTGATTTCCTTGAAAATGATCTTAAAAGCAAATTCGCATAAGGTGCCTTAAAGCAACCTCAGTGAAGACATTGAAACCCATACAGAGCAGTTAAATTTTTTTTTTCTTGCTCTTTTTGAGGGTCTCTCTCTCTCTTTTTGACAGTCCTCCTTATAGTTTCAGAACCTGACAGCTGAAGTCCCACATCCTCTGAGATGTGATAGTACATTTATTTCATCTGAATCGGGGTGGGAGGAATTGTTTTATTTTTGTTTTTTTGGTTTTGTGGGGTTTTTTTGTTGTTGTTGTTTTTGTTTTGTTTTTACCAGTTCTGTGTATTTCCATAATGCTCCACCTGCTTTCTGCTGGGTGTCACCGAGCCTGTCCAACCGATGGTCATTGCCTCCCGAAGACCGTCAAACAATTCCGTGTTTGAGCCTGGGGGCCTCCCATGTGGATGTTCCAGCCATGTCCGTGTGGCCTCTCCCTTCAGCTTGCTTTGTTTATCCAGCAGCTCATTACTTAAGAGTAGCCTGTCAAAATAGGTTTAAATATCCTTTGGGAAACATGGTCCCTCACATCCTTGAGATACCAGAAATATGTTGAATCCAGGGAAGATGGGCTTGATAAGAAAAACATGGTCGACTTGCATCACCCAAGAATATTTTCCCCGTTATTCCGGTTGAGTTTCCACAGGCTCTGATGAGCCCCCCACAAACCTACAGGCCCTCCGTTTCTGCGGCAGACACCTAAAGACACCGAGGGAAGCAGGGAAAATGATTGCTGATGATCCGTTCTAACTACTTGACCTTCTGACCTCTTCTCTAGATATATGACCAAGATGGGACACTACAGCACTTTATTGATGGTGGGGAGCCTAGTAAGTCGAGCTGGATGAGGTATATCCGATGTGCAAGGCACTGCGGAGAGCAGAATCTAACAGTAGTTCAGTACAGGTAAAGTATATCTTGATTTACCCCTTAACGGAGCTGCGGCCCTTCGGCTTGCATTGACAAATTCAGGCTTACTGCTGGTTGCGAAGAACCCCACAGAACCCTGCGGGGACGGGCAGGGATTTTTTTCCCCAGGTTTCTGAAGGCTTCCTAAGTTCTTGCAACAGTCATGTCATGAAAATTCAGGAATAAAGGTGTTTGTGGAAGGCCTCTTTCCCCTGGGTGCACGTGGTCAGGCTCCTTCCGTATCACCAACCCAGACATCCACCAGTGCCTCAGTGAGCCTGGAACCCCCCCCCCCCCCCGGTGTGGGGAGATCGCCCTTCCCCCATCCCCTAAGCAGACATAGGCTTGCACAGAAATTGAGCCCCAGACCCCTTGCAGCCCGTGCTCTGCAGACTTGCTGCCTCCGGAAACTCTCCTTCGCACAGAGGCGTGGGAAACCTAGCACGAGCGCCCACCCCGCCGGAGGGTTCCAGCGAGGCTGCTCTTCTCAAACTCTGGGGCTCCGCGGCAGGGGCTGAGCCGCCATCCCCTCTCCTGCTCCCTCGGAGGGTGCCAGAGCATTTGGCTTTGGCCCTTCGACTGGTCAGACTATGTTTCAGGGGATGAGGCAGTTGCAGAGTCTAGAGAAGCCCCGGTTATCCTGCGAAGGGTGTGCAGAGCCCAAAGCCGGGCAAGCGGAGGCGGGCCCGCCTCCCTCGTTTCCCAGAATCCCGTGGGCGGGGGAGGAGCCAGGTGGATTCCCGCCGCCCCTCGGTGCACCTGCCGGTCTGGCATCCCCACTTGGTGCTGGAGTCCAGACGGGAACCCAAAAACAGATCACAGAGGGGGAAACAAAGCCCTTTCCTCAAAATCCCTCGAAAACATGTGCCGGATAAATATATGACTTCAGTTATAAACAGCCGTGTTCCCTTAAGAATCAGAAGCAACCGTTTAGCTTTATTAGGCACCACAGACACATCAAAGCAGAAGGCCCTGTACTCGGCAACTTGGAGTCCTGCCTCTGGCTATTTATTTCCTTCCTTTCTTTTTTCTTTTTTAGTTTTTAAACATGAAGCCCTGATAAAGGAAAAGGAAAAAAAAAAAAAAAGAGGGAAGGGGGGGTGCTTTCCCCCCTTATAGGTTAAAGGCTGCACGGATCTGGCCGCCTCTCCGAAGGTCTCCAGTTCAAAAGGAACCCATTTGGGCAGCGTGTGACTCACTGCCTTGGTTTCTCGTGCAGTTAAAGTTCATTAAATAATGGTTTTGGTGCGAGAGTGCATGACGGTGTTCGGTTACACGGCCGTGTGCAGGCTGTTTCTGTCATGAAGCTTTGATGAAACTCGGAGCTAGAAAATGAGCAAATGCTGTGCTTGTACTCATTTGGGGAGGGATCATGGGCTGGCTCTGTCATGAGCACCCAGGGAGCCCTTGAGGCCAACACTGAATCGGGGGAAGCAAGAAGCCCCCAAGAGGAAGGTGGGCAAGTCAGTAAGTCAGTCACCTATCTGTCAGTCTTGAGTGGATTTTACAGCTCCCCCTCCCAGGACGGCGCTTAAACGTCTAGATCTCTCTGCTGATCTGTTTTCGATTACTTCGGATCGCTCTAAAACGAACTACAAAAACACAATTAAAAAAAAAAAAAAAAAAACCTGGCATCCATCACCAGTGACCACGTCCAAGAGTAAGAAAATAGAAAAGTTGGACCCTGAAGAGCCAGCTTCATTTTTATTGTACATGAATGTCCTCTTCACGAAGAGTCAGCTGGTTTAGATTCATTCTGTTATGATTTGTAATATCTAAATGGAATTTTCTTCAAAGCGCCCTTGATTGATTGACCCTTCGCTGAACGTTTTGTTTTTATTTTGAGGCTGACAATAATGTTTGTTGGCATGTGTTCTGCTTCGACTGTGTTGGGACGCCACGGAGCTATCTTTATGAGTCATCCAACCACAATACTAAATACATGTCAGCAAAGGAAATATTATCTGAAAAGGGAAAAATCCCTTTGAAGTGCTTCAACATGCAGAGATTTCTGCGAGCTTTGGAAGCTCTGCCCGCTTGTAAGGAACGGTGTACGCTTACACTTTTTTTTTTTTCTTCTCCTTCTTTTTTTTCCCCCTCTCGGCCTACTCAGTGCCTCACAAGACCACCCATCGCTCGAAAACAGTTCTGCTCTTTCAGCGGCAAAGTGTGTCATTTGGTTTTAGCACATTCATTTGCCGGGCGCTGTGTTTATATTAAGGGAAGCCAAACCGAGAGATGAAATGTTACAAGGGTGAAGTACAAAGTCGACTCAATTTTTCTCAAGTTAGGAGATGCCAGTGATTTATAGCTCGGCTCCAATTTTGATTTTTTTATGTAGCAGTGGAAAGAATTAATAAAATGCACAGCTCTCGGAGTTGCGGGAGGGAGGAAGGGTGTAGTGAGGTCCGGACGACTGGCTGGAGTTTTTGTCAGATATTCATAGAATGTTGGGAAAAACATTCTGCTTAGCTAGCAGTGCCCTCGTGAGACAGAATGGCAGCAAGGAAGGAAAATAACAAGATAAATGAAATTTTTGCAGCTGCGAGTAAAATATTGAGAATCTGCACTTTTTTATTGATCTTTATGATTCTATTGCCAAGAGCCACTTTGCGGTGACGAAATATGTTGACAAGTGCATATCTCACTGCCGTGAAAAATGTGGTGAAGGATTCGCCTGATGTCTGCAGTGTTATACAAGGAACAAATTGCCGTGCTACAGCCAATTCCTTACAGATAGGCTAAATTTAAGGCCCACCAACCCTAAACACTTTTATCTTGAACTTGAGGCTCGTATGTGTAGCCATTCTTCATGGAGGAAACTGGTCACGGTCTCCTCATTTTTTCTTTCTTTTTTTTTTAATCTGTGAGTTTTTCTTTACCGAAGCCGTTATGAAAAATGTTTATTTCTAGGTGCATTCACTCTATCATTTCGGAAGGTAATCTTTCAGCCAGAGTCAAGTGCTCCCCTTGTATTTATTGAATTTCCATTCATTCCCCGTAAGAGGGGTTCTCTTTTCTCTTGTATCAAACTTTAGGAGACAGGCAATGGGGAAGATTTTTTTTTTCAACCTCCCTCAGTCTTTTCGATCCCAAAGCTGCTTCATTTTACCGCAAATTTGGGGACTCACAATGCCGAGTGGCGGGAACATGTGTCATGCTTTTCCTTCAAATCAGAAATCAGTAGTATTAATTTATATAAGAGGGTGAGGCACCAGCGTCTGTGATTTGCCAAGAAACGGAATTTTCTCATTAGTGTGAGTTGGGATTTATTATTATTATTATTTTTAGTGAGCCCTAGCTTTCTGTTATCTATCTGTCTCTTCAGCCCCAGTGTTCTGTGGAGGGACATTGTGGAAATAAATTGTAAGGTGTTTATTGCTTTGGGGTGCAGGCTCTGCTTGGTTGCTGGGAATGATAAGGTGGGGTGTGCAGATTTTATTACAAACAAACTGTTTAGATGGAGCTGGGCAGAACTTTTTCGGGGCCGATAACAATGTACCTCTGACTAAGCTGGGTTTTCTTTTGTTTTGAATAGGTCGAATATATTCTACCGAGCCTGTATAGATATCCCCAGGGGCACCGAGCTTCTGGTGTGGTACAATGACAGCTATACGTCTTTCTTTGGGATCCCCTTACAATGCATTGCGCAGGATGAAAACTGTAAGAATTTATTTTAGCTCTGAATTCATCTCTCACAATACCTCTTTTTGAAAGCTAATGTCTTAAGAGCGTTGAGACTCCTGTCATATGGTTCGCTTTGATGCGTGTTGCAAATGTGCACGAGTCTGTTTCCTCGATTTCTCTTTCCCTCTGTTGTCCTCTGCTTTCTCACAGGGCGTCTAGACTTCCCACAGGCCCGTCCTTGCTTCACCTGTTGACGATTCCACAACCGTTGTCAGAGTTTTAAATGATCTCTGGCAGCAAGGTGAAGGCCTCTGGTGTTTTTTGAGTACCTACTATGTGTCTGGTTCCCTGCTTGCCTCCTAGTGGGGTGACCAGAGCAGCACAAGGTACATCTCCTGCTCTCAAGCGATGCACCGTCCGGCCAGAAGCACGCTATAGGCAAAAATGAAATAATGAGAAAACAGTGCTATGTAATGAGGAGAAAAAGCCCTCTGGTTAATGGGGCGTGCCTCCTCCTAAGTAGTCCTTGGAGTGAGAAACGGTAGCAAAAATTGTAGACCTATCCCTGAGGAATTTGTCTCCCTAAATGCCTTAGTCTAAAACAAACCACATAACGTTCTTCTATCTTTATGACCGTGGCCATCATTATCTCTAAAAAAAAATAATAATTTCTACCATCCAGGCAAATTCAAAACTTGAAGCCATTTCTACTCAAATTTGTATTTATGTTTTATCAATTTCGGGGAAAATATTTGAAGGTGATTTCCAGGATTTGGAAGAGAATGAGGTCATTCTGAGGGGTTTCCAGTGAGAAACACTGGTTTCGGTGATATCATTTTTCCCCCTTGGCCCCAAACTGCCAAGGGATAATTGTGATAAGCTAATAATTTGGGATTATGTAACAGAAAAAGATGGAGAGAGAACAGCTCTCTTGAACAAACCTCATTTTGAAAAAGCAGTGTTATTTTTCCTTTTCCACTAACTTTCTCCCTCACACACGCGCGCACGCAATCTAAAAACTAAAAAAGTGTTCGTGTTATTCCTGAGGAAAATGCGACAATTAGAGACATTTCTTTCCCACATTGTCCTTATGTTCTTTGTGAAAAAATAGAACCCTCAAAAAGCGTGTTCCTGTCAGCCTTCCCTTTCTCCTTTACCCTAACTCCAAACCAATCTCAGATCAAAGAAAGGAATCTTTGGACATTCAGTACCTTCCTCTTGCTTCTCAAGTTTCTACCAGAAAGTTCTTTTCTGCAGTCATGCTCTGAGGGAGTGTCTGAGGGAGTGCCTGTTTCCATGGAGGCAGATCTCAGTGTTGGACATGCGTGTGTGGTGGGTGTTAAATGCAGCTGTGCACACGTGCCCAGTACATGCCATGTCCCCACGTCTCCAGGCCCTTGCTGTCCTCACACTAGACCACAGTCCTTGTATGGAAAGACCCCAGTATCCGGCCCCCTGACCTGCTGACATGGGCCTATCTCCTGAACCTTGATGTACCCCCACCTTCTGGAGTATGGTATTGATCTGTAGGCATGTCCAAAATCCTGTAAGGTCTTCTGTTTCCTCTAACAAAACTCACTACATATCTGAAGACTGTATTATTATAGTCTTATGAGTTGTGTAATAAGTCTTACTTATTGTGGTGTGCATGTCCAGAAGTGTCTGAGATTAAGCCTGTCAAAGCCTCGAGCTCAGATGGACATTGCTCGGAGCCCAAGGATGTGTTCGTTCAGTGCTCAGGTGTTTATTGGACACCTGCAGTGGGCCTGTGTGTCTTTGTAGGTCCTACAGATACAGCAGCCAAGAATTCCTGCCCTCATGCAGCTTACATTCTAGTGGAGGGAGACAGATTAATACATGACTAAAGAAGTGGGTACATACATTGTTTGTTGGGTGGTAACGCTTTGTAGAGAGATGAAAGCAGAGAAGGGAGGAGGATGCCAGGAGTAGGGGGTTGTGGATTTCAGAGTGATCAGGGTAGGCCCCATTGGGAATGTGGTCTTGGGGTTGAGATCTGAGGAGGGGAAGGGTCAGCCACGTGTTGTTTGGAAGACGTGTGTTCCCGGTGGTGAGGTGAAAAGGGTAGAGGCCCCACGATAGGGATGTCCCCGGCCTGTTGGAACAGTGTTCCCAGGGTCAGCAAGGGTGTTTTGGAGCAAATGAGGTGAGAAGGTCACTTAGTTATCAGGTGGGGCATGAACAAGGACCCTCTGGCAGAAGCCTGGCTTTTCCTCAGTGTGGGCCATGCAAAGGGCGCTTACAGCAGACTTTAAGTTTTGAGCAGAAGAGTGCTGTGTTCCGGCTGCCATTGTTAAGAGGATGACTCTGGCCACTGATTGGAGACCAGACAGCAAGGCCTCGCGGTGGAGCAAGGAATCCAGTTCCAGGCTCTTGCAAGAATCCAGGGGGAGAGATGATGGTGGTGGTTTGGGCCAGTGTAGACATGGTGGAGGTGGTAAGAAGTGGTTGGATTCTGGATGCATTTTGAAAGTAAAGCCAACAGTGTTTGCTGACACCTTAGGTGCTGAATGAGAGAGAAAGGAGTCAAGGATCACTCTAGGGCTTTGGTCTGAGGAACCGGAAGGATGGAATGGCCACTTACTGAGTTATGAGGGAGAAATGGAAACCACCATGGAAATGACTTCTTGGGGAATGCATTTCTTACCCTTGATGTGATCTCTGAGGTGGAAGTCATACATTTGCAACCTTGCTTCCACCTCATGATGCTGTTACATAGGATCAGGCTGGAGGAATTGGGGGGTCTTGTGTGCCATTCACAGCCACCTGACAGTAGGTATTCAAGAGCATACCATCTGGTCCTTGGATTCAGTGCCGAAGTGCCAACAAAAGGGTATTTTCTGGAAACACCAGATGCTGTGCCTTTTAATCCTTCTCTCTCCTAGTCTCCGACTGCTTAAAGCACTCTTGAGGTTGCTGATTATTGAATTCCATTAACTCTCCCAGGGTTTCTGTTGTATGATTTAGCACCTGAAATCCTTGGAAGAAAAACTGAAAAACCGCAGCGGCTCAGAGTACTGTGGATTCAGGAGGCAGACCAAGCGGCTCTTTTGCGTGGAGTTCTGAGCTCAAAGTGAGGGTGGAGGGAAGTTTAAAGAAAATGAAGTCATTGATGAAAATGCTCCACGGTGACAATCCCCCGTTCCCCCTGAGGGTATTACAGGAATTTTATTTCAGTTCCTGTCTCCAAGTCATATATCTGTCATGTGATTGGCCATCCAAGAAACCGGCAGAAAGCTTCATCAGATAGCGTAGGGGAGATATATGACTTGAACTCTAAGATGGATTCTCATTCCACAGGATTCACAGAGAGAGCCGGGAATGCTTTATAATGTGGGTTCCTCCTTCTGCACACAGAAAATACTCGGTGTGATTTAAAAGCACAAATGTGTGAAAGGGCATGGACAGATACTTTAACAGATAGCCTTCCACAGCCCTAAGTAATTTAAATCATCTCAACTGGATTAGCAATTCTAAGACAATTTTTATCCCACTGAGCTAGCCACAAAATAAATCAGGTATCTTTAAAAAAGAGTCTTCTGGATACCAGAGACTTAGGTGACAAAATGCCTTAGCAGAGCCTCCTTGTCGGGCCACGGACTCGCACCAATTAATAAGCGCCTCCTGGAACAGTCTGGAGACTTTTGTCGCCATTATTTGAAGGGATGAAACATCTCCACCCCGTAGTTTCCTTTGTTAACAAAATGGTTACGTGGCCCAAGACACTCAAGGGAAACGTGATTTTACTTAGCGAATAATACTTCCTGAGCGTTTTCACGTCTTAAAAGATCATTTTCCTCCCGTGGTCCTTTCAATGACGCAAGTACACGTTTCCTCCTGAGCGGGTGCGGTGGGCTGAGGCTTGAGAGACCGTCCCCTCTGGGGGCGCCCGTGAAACGGTGGGCGCCCTTGAGGGCCCAGACAAGCCCCTGAAAGCCGCAGGGCCTCAAAGAGAAGGCAGCGTTTCACACAGACCTTGGGGCTCTGGAAGCAATTCCTCTGTTATTTTCTTTTTTAAAAAACCAGGGTTGTAAATGTAATAGAGCTCCAAGGAGAGAGCCGCTCCATCCACCGTGGGCCTTTCAGAAGAGCCCGAAGGAAAGCCTGTGTCGACAGATTGCCTCCGTGAGGAGGAACGAGGCTCCCCAGAGCTTCCGGTGGGGGATTAGCTCCCACCGAGTGTAAAGACCATAGTGTGTTCATATTCATTTCAGAGGAAATTAAAAAAAAAAAACAAAACAAAACAAAAAAACAAAAAAACGGAATAAATGTTCGACAAGTCTCCCTGCTGCTCTTTCTGCCTTGGCCTGTGACACCAAAGTAGCAGAATGTGGACCTCTTCGTCCCTGCGGCGGTTCCCACGCTGACATCAGCGCTGCCTCTTTCTCTCGATTGTGCAGAGTAGGAAACAAAAAGGGGTTCCTCTGCATAGGGCCCCTCACCCCTGCTGTCCGGCCGACAGGGAGGAGCTAGGCCCAGGCTCAGGTCTTATGTCTGGGAAGTTGGAGAAGCTTGCAGTATTGTTGGGTCGAGCCCTGGGATGAGGAGCACTGGGATGACAGGCTCAGGCCCTGTCCTCAAGTCTAGAAGAAGGCACGTGACCACACAGCAACACAGCAGACACAGTGCAGGAACCTGGTGATGCGGCTGTGGGCATGAGGCCGAGCTGAGGGGGATTGAGCCGGCGCTAGTATAGTTGGGAGGAGTCCAGGTTCTAGGCCCCTTGTGTACCGTGCGAAGTTGGGATTGCCCTTCTTCACTAAGTCCAAGGACTTTCCATCCCTGACTGAGGACCCGAAAAAGACTCCCCACCATCCAGGAAGCCAAGGAGCTGTCATCTCAGGCCGCTGGCAAGAACAGAGTGCTGCTCTCTGAAAACCAGTCCCGGCCCTTGCGGTGTTATGTGGCTGGATTTTGTACTACCTGCCGGCTATAGATACCTTGGGCCAATAAACAAACAAAGATCAGTCTGCAGAAACCTGTAGGGTGCTAGAAGAGGCGGAGAGAAGCCACCCCAT